TTAGGGGTTAGGGGTTAGGGGTTAGGGGTTAGGGGTTAGGGGTTAGGGGTTAGGGGTTAGGGGTTTAGGGTTTAGGGTTTAGGGTTTAGGGTTTAGGGTTTAGGGTTTAGGGCTTAGGGCTTAGGGTTTAGGGTTTAGGGTTTAGGGTTTAGGGTTTACCCCCCAAACCCCTATATTTTCACTATTGTAAAAGGGGTTTTGGACACACACACACACACACACTAATAATAATACTAAAGGCGTGAGTGAATAAAGAACGATAAAAGAAGAAAACCAAAGATAATTTCTATGCCTGGCTATTTAGTTCGTACATGTGTTATTATTAAAAGCCTGAGAATTCAGGGGCATGTGTTCATCGTTTTCTTGTTTTGTTTTGTAGTTAGCCCGGCGGGAACAATAATAGTAATAATATCGCCAGTGAATAAAATGAACAGGCCCATATGGTGTGTACTACTGATGAAATCGCAATTACAATCATATCCTTGTCCTTTGATCATAAATTGTTTTTGAAATATTGGTTTCTATTAGGAATTACTATTTATTACAAGCCCTTACAGGAATCTTCTTAGGTTTACATTATACATCAGATATTGATTCAGCATATTTCCTCTTTTCCTTTAAATTCGAGAAATATTTTATGGATAGTGTTTACGTTATCAATTCAGCATATTTTCTCTTTTCTTTTTAATTAGAGAAAAATATTATGGAAGGTGTTTACGTTATCTTCATTCTAATGGTGCATCATTTTTGTCTTTCTCTTTATATTTCTTCATCTTGGAAGAGCTATGTCTTGTGCTTCATATCTTTATAATCCATATACTTGGTTTTCTGGAATTATTATTACTTCTTCTTAATGGGAGCAGCATTTTATGGGTTATGCTTTACCTTTAGGACAAATGAGTTTATGACGAGTTACAGCAAGTCCAATCTTTATTCTCTCCATTTCCATCTTTAATAGAATGGCTTTATGGAGGACATTATTTTTACAATCCAACATGAAAGAGGTTCTTTGTCTTTCATTTCTATTTACATTTCTTCTTTGTGCTTTTTTCTTTTCTACATTTTCTATCTTCTAATAATCCTTTAAGGAATTCCACTAGTAATAAAATAGCATTTTTCCTTTCATGATTTGTAAAGATTTCTATGGAAAGATATTAATAATCTATCTATATCTTCTTCAAACTCATTTCGGCTTCTCTTCTTTCTCACATCCAGATAAGGCAAAGCATGTGGATTACTTACTCCTTTACATATAGTACCTGACTGGTAGTTCTTATGCCAATACGCATGTTAACAGCTGTACCAAATATAAATGCAGGATTCTTTATCCTATTTACTTCTATCTTCATCCTGGTTTACTTTATGAGTCTTTCAATGTCATTCGATTTTATAATTCAGACGACGCCCAGTAATGTTAACCTCACATCTATAAATGGGGTGGTAATTGCAATATTCGCAGGGCCAGCGGGCCCCAGCCGAAGACTACTTTCCATTACGGGAGGTTTCCGGGCCGAAATCTGGCAAGAAGTCTCAAAAGGGGGGGCCGGTGAGAATAAAAATGGGGTGACGACTGCATTATTTTCTGGCCAGGAATGCAAAATTTTACTGAAAATGGCTTCAGAGTTCCATTGCAGAGAAGACTTTTCAGCTGAGCTGGCTTGAAAGAGCTCCGAGGCTCAGTCTTTACAGAACCCTTCAAGCTGACCCCCCCAGACCCCCAGAAGACCCCCAGATTGCAACTATTGACACCCCCTCTTTTTTTGACCCCTCCAAACCCCGGGGACCAAAACAAGATTGGGGGGGGGGGGGGTTATTAAGCGACGTTAACATTAGATTCAATGGTTGTTATCTGTGCTTTTGGTTTCTTTCGCTTTTACACCCTAAACCCTAAACCCTAAACCCCAAACCCTAAACCCTAAACCCTCCCATTTTTGTCCCCAAGGGTGTCAGCTGGCGGCCTAGCAGCTCGAGGAAGGCGCTCAGGAGGTCGCAGTCGTCCTCCCATACCCTAAACCCTAAACCCTAAACCCCAAACCCCAAACCCTAAACCCTAAACCCTAAGCCCGAGAAGGGTTTCTGGGTTCATTCGGTCCACAAGGTGCTACCACCGCACACCAGGCTCCCTTTTCCCGACCCTCAACACACGTGCAAGACACCCACCGCGGACACTCACAGACAATCCCCCCTACACCCGAAACCCGAAACCCTAAACCCCAAATTATGAACTTTGAACCCTAAACCCTAAACCCTAAACCCTAAACCCTAAACCCTAAACCCTAAACCCTAAACCCTAAACCCCACAGGAGGCCGGGGGGTGACCTTGTAGTGGTAGCGGCCCCTGGGATAAACCACCAGGCGCATCCGGAAGTCCTCATGCTGGCCCACCTGCGGCCCAAACCCCTGGGATTGGGTTTAGGGTTTAGGGTTTAGGGTTTAGGGTTTAAGGGTTTAAGGGTTTAAGGGTTTAAGGGTTTAAGGGTTTAAGGGTTTAAGGGTTTAAGGGTTTAAGGGTTTAAGGGTTTAAGGGTTTAAGGGTTTAAGGGTTTAAGGGTTTAAGGGTTGTGGGGTTAAGGGTTTAAGGGTTTAAGGGTTTAAGGGTTTTAGGGTTTAGGGGTTTAGGGGTTTAGGGTTTAGGGTTTAAGGGTTTAGGGTTTTAGGGTTTTAGGGTTTTAGGGTTTTAGGGTTTTAGGGTTTTAGGGTTTTAGGGGTTTAGGGGTTTAGGGGTTTAGGGGCTTAGGGTTTAGTAGGGTTTAGTAGGGTTTAGGGGTTTAGGGGTTTAGGGGTTTAGGGGTTTAGGGGTTTAGGGTTTAAGGGTTTAGGGTTTTAGGGTTTTAGGGTTTTAGGGTTTTAGGGTTTTAGGGTTTTAGGGTTTTAGGGTTTTAGGGTTTTAGGGGTTTATGGGTTTAGGGGCTTAGGGTTTAGTAGGGTTTAGGGTTTAGGGCTTAGGGCTTAGGGTTTAGGGCTTAGGGTTTGGGAGGGGGGGGCTGCCCCCAAAACTCTGCAACTACAAGGGCTAGGGTTTCACGGCTTGAGGTATGGGCTCCTGGGTCTAGGGGTTGAGGTTTGGGGCTCAGGGTTCAGGATTCCGGGTTTAAGGTTGAGCGTGGTTCCTACCTCCCCCCCCCTTTCCCAACCCTAAACCCTAAACCCTAAACCCTAAACCCTAAACCCTAAACCCTAAACCCTAAACCCTAAACCCTAAACCCTAAACCCTAAACCCTAAACCCTAAACACTAAACACTAAACCCTAAACCCTAAACCCAAAACCCTAAACCTAAACCCTAAACCCCCCTACCCCCCTAACCCCCCCCCCCCCCCCCCCGCCGTCTCCGACACCACATACTGCTCCGGCAGGTAGCCGCAAGGATTCCTCCGAGTGCTCACATCTCACACCATGCAATAAAGCGGCTGAGGGGTTGGGTTTAGGGTTTAGGGTTTAGGGTAGGGTTTAGGTTTAGTTAGGGTTTAGGGTTTAGGGTTTAGGTTTAGGGTTTTAGGGTTTAGGGTTTAGGGTTTAGGGTTTAGGGTTTAGGGTTTAGGGTTTCGGGTTTGGGGTTTGGGGTTTAGGGTTTAGGGTTTAGGGTCTCACCGTCTTCTGCTGCCGGGGATCCAAATCACGAGGTCGACTTGCTGTTGCCAACCTTCTCTCATCCTTACAAGGCGGTTGCCCTTTGGGACGACATGAACCCTAAAAGGGTTTATGGTTCATACACCTTAATAAGAACTGTAGTAATTTATAGGGTATTTGACTCCAACTTTGGGGTTCATTTGGTCCCCAAGGGCCGGCTCTTGCCGAGGCTGCTGGAAGCTAAGCAAGGGGCCTGAATACCTAGAAGGGGGTCTTGGGGTGATTATCAAGGGACCCTAAAAGAATATTATGAGTAACTATTCGAACCCCTATTTTAGGGAAAGCGAAGCTCCCTTTCTTCTTTCGGCCTCTTATCCTTTCCTAGCACGCAGACATCTGGAGTCTCGGGAGATCGGCCAGAGAAGATGGGCCTGCAAAAGGGTTTGTGGTTCATACACCTTAAAATAGGAATGATAGTAGTATAGGGTATATGGACCACAATTTAGGGCTCTGTCAGTTGGTCCCAAAAAAAACAGCATCCGAGCATCTGGGCCGTGCCAGCCGTCGGCTTGGATGCCATGGTCAAGACGGTTTTTTTGGGCGGGGGTTAGGGGGGGGGGGGATTGGAGTTGGAGTTGGAGACATGAGGGTGTTTTTAGAGCCTTGGGGACTACACGACGAAACCTGAAAAAAGGGCTTCTGCCTCATAGAATGTATCATAGGAATCTTAGAGGAGTAGAGGGTAAAGTTTAGGCATTTCGTCCCCAAGGTAGGGGCGAAGGTGGAGTTGGAGTCAAGACACTACTGTAGGCTGTGAAGCTGGGTTCGGTTGTTGAGAGGTGGGCGGCATGATCAGGGTTTAGGGTTTAGGGTTTAGGGTTTAGGGTTCAGGGTTTAGCGTGACATCGTGGCACAGCAAGTTGGGCTACGTTTGCGAAGAGGTGCTTGGCGTAACCTTGCCCAGCTTGGGGAGGTTCTACCTGGGGCGCTACTTACGTACAGCTTCGTAGTAGCAACCCTTAACTAGTAGGTAAGACCCCATGAAACTGTAGGTAAAGAAGGCCCCAGGTAAGTTTCCATAAAGCCATACATGCTCGGTTCTGAGCACGCTCTGAAAAAGGAGCTGCGGCGGAACAGGCGTGTCACTTCGGATGCACTTCCCTTGGGGACGAAATGAACCCTAAAAGGGTTTAGGGTTAAATATACTTTATAATGGGAATTATGTAGTAGTCACGGTATATGACCCCCAAGCTTTCACGGGTTCAGGTCGTCCCCAAGCTATGCCCTTCGAGAGTTGCAGCCCCTCCGCCCCCCTCTCCCCGGCCCCCAACACTCGAATCGTCTCAAAAGTTTGGGAGCTGAACTCCATGGCCCGAAACAAAGTCCCGCAAACTGGGTTTAGGGTTTAGGGCTCAGATTTTCGATCCCCAGCCTTGAAGTAGCCATTGCGGGCACGAAGAATGCCGTGCTCGATGTCATCCAAGCTCATCTGCAGGAAGGCCCATAAAATAGCTCTAAACCCTAAACCCTAAACCCTAAACCCTAAACCCTAAACCCTAAACTGCAGGAAGGCCCATAAAATAGCTACTCTGAGCTCCACTGGCCCCGCGTTTTAACGGGCCGCACCCCCCCTAAGGCGGTCTGAAGCTTTGAAGAGCGCTGGGCGCTGAACCCTAACCCCCATGACCCTAAACCCTCAACCCTAAACCCTAAACCCTCAACCCTAAACCCCAAACCCTAACCCTAAACCCTCAACCCTAAACCCTGAACCCTAAACCCTAAACCCTAAACCCTAAACCCTAAACCCTAAACCCTAAACCCTAAACCCTAAACCCAGGACCAGCCGTGCCCTGGGCTTGGGACTTGGAGACTCTGAGGGGACGCCTGGGTGCCGGCCACACGGTACGAGACCGCCGGCGTGATGAAGAAGCAGTACAGGTACCTCGGAACAGCGGCTTAGGGTTTAGGGTTTAGGGTTTAGGGTTTAGGGTTTAGGGTTTAGGGTTTAGGGTTTAGGGTCGAGGGTTTAGGGTTTAGGGTTTAGGGTTGAGGCCATCTTAAGAGCTAAGAGAACACCCCAGAAAAGCCCAATCAAAACAAATGAAGCCCACTGCCCGCCTCTTCTTTGATGATTTGTTTGTCTTGTTTGTCTTCGCTTCAGAGGCCCCGACCACCATCCTTCGCGGCGTCCGAAGGTCGTGACGCCGTGGAAAGTCCTGGAAGTTTGCAATCCCCCCCCCCCCCCCCCCCCCCCCCCCCCCCCCCCCGAGGGGGCGACGAAGAGGAGAGCAACACCCAAATTTCTAAACCCTAAACCCTCAACCCTCCACCCTAAACCCTAAACCTACACCCTAAACCCTAAACCTACACCCTAAAAACCCTAAACCGGCGCCGGAGCCAACACTGTTGGGGCCGGCGCATGGCGTTGTAGAGGTTGATGAAGAAGGCCTGGGCTGTAAGGTAGCACGAGTAGCAATACACCCCTAAACCCTGTAAGCCCTAAAACACCCTAAACCCAGCACCCAGAACCCCAAATTTACCCTAAACCCTAAACCCTAAGCCCTAAGCCCTAAACCCTAAACCCTGAACCCTGAACCCTAAACCCTGAACCCTGAACCCTGAACCCAGAACCCTAAACCCTGAACCCTAAACACCCCATTGCCACCTCTCTTGGGACCCCGAACCCCGCACCGGCCTTCCGGTCCGCCTCGCCCAAAGCTTCCAGCTCTGGCCGGAGCCGGGGCCTTTTGAAGTCAAAGTCTGAGCAAAAGACCGTAAACCCTTTACCCTAAACCCTTTGCCCTAAACCCTCAGCCCTAAACCAAATTTTGGGGTGTGTAGGGTCTATGGGGTGTATAGAGCGTCCTGCATGTATAGGGTGTAAGGTGTGGAGGGTTTAGGGCTTAGGGTTCTGAAAAACATGGCAGCCGGCCACAACCCCACAAAGTCGGATCAGTTTTTTTCCAAGCATCAGCGGCAAGCCCTGTTTAGCAGACCCTAAACCCTAAACAACCCCAAACCCTAAACCCCAAACCCCAAACCCTAAACCCCAAACCCTAAACCCTAAACCCTAAACCCTTACCCTTTTGGGGCTCATAATTGGTCCTCAAGGGGCGAACAAAGTCTCCTGTCTGAGGAAGGCGCTCGCCGATCTCGGCCGCCAGGGCGCGAAAGAGGCTCCACCTAACCAGCAGATTTGCTAGGGTTTAGGGTTTAGGGTTTAGGGTTTAGGGTTTAGGGTTCAGGGTGTAGGGCTTAGGGCTTTGGTGACCAAACGAACCCTAAAATTGGGGTCATATACCCTATACTACTCGAATTCCTACTAAGGTTATATGAACCCAGAGACCCTTTTAGGGTTCATTTCGTCCCCGAGGAATGTGGCCGTTCAACTCGGTGGCTTAGAGTGTGCGTTTGGATCTAGGCATCTCTGCACATTTGACGTAGGGTACATATTTCTTGTACCCCCAAAAAGGACACCCAATACATATATATATATATATATGTATATATAAATATACACTCACCAACACTAAAAAGGAACCTTGTATACACCTAACAATAGCAGTAATATAAACCCCCTACTTCACATCGCTTCCATTCTCCGCGTGCCCGGCTGCGAAGACGCGCACATGGCCACATAGTCGACGTCGTTGCCTTATCGGCGGACCAGAAGATATCGGATGGATCCGACTACACATATATCCACGATGGGCAGAGAACGAGTCTATGGTTGTGAGTGCTTTTTTGTGCCTTTAAGTCGCGAAGGCCTTGCCCACTTCTGCAAGGGCCCTGCTCACAACATCCTGCAGAGCTCAGCCCAGTGCAGAAGTGGCGAAACAAAGTGCCCCACGAAAAAAAAAAATCAAGAAGCTTCGGTTCTTTTGTAGAAGGAGAGAAGTCAGTGACCAGTGCCCTAAACCCTAAACCCTAAACCCTCAACCCTCAACCCTCAACCCTCAACCCTAAACCCTCTGGGGTGTCTGCTGGCAGGATCAAAGAAGTCCTCCAGCAGCTGCAACCTCGGCTTGACATGCACAATGAGGCAAAGCGAAGCCTTCTACTAGTAGATTACTTAGTAGATGTCTGCAACTCGCTGAGTTGGGGATACAAGCGAAGGAGGGAGGGAGAGAGAGAGAGAGAGAGAGAGAGAGAGAGAGAGAGCGAGGCAGAGAGAGGGAGAGAGGGAGAGAGAGAGAGGGAGAGAGAGAGAGGGAGAGAGAGGGAGAGAGAGGGAGGCACTGAAACGGGGACGGTGTTACCCTGATGCTTCCTCTGGCTGCTACTGTACCCTCTGCAGCGCTTTCCGGGGTCGGTGCATCACCTGCCTCAGCAGGGCCTGAGACGGAGGGTCGACTGGCTACCAAGACCTCTTATGGGGTGTGACCACCACTATGGGCAAGACCACCGGTTGACCCGAGCTTTGCTTCTCCACCCGAAACCCTATGCCCCCTGAACACCAAAAGCCCAAAACACCCTAAACACTCCAAAACCCTCCAACAGAAACCCAAGAAAGCCCTCAAAAAACCTAGAAAGCCTTTAAGCCACCTGCTAAACACCCCCCCCCTCCCCCAAAACAACGCAGAGTCCTCGGAGACCAATTATGAACCCAAAACTGGTTTAGGGTTTGGGGGTTCAGGCTTCATAATGCCTTCATGGGACTTGTGGTAGAGGGCATAGGCATAAGGTCTATGACCCCTCCCAAACCCGAAACCCGAAACCCTAAAACCTAAAGCCTAAATCCTAAACCCTAAGCCCTAAACTCTAAACCCGAAACCCCAATTTTTGGGGGGAGTTTTCTCTTTGATTCTCCCCAAGAAAATTCCGGGGCGCCCGGCCACGAGTTCTGAGGCGCTGCCGCCCAAGGCCGGCCCCGGCTCTGGGGCTCCCGGCGCCTTCGAGTTTATAGGTTTAGGGCTTAGGGCCTAGGGTTTATAGGGTTTAGGGTTTAGGGTTTTAGGGTTTTAGGGTTTTAGGGTTTTAGGGTTTTAGGGTTTTAGGGTTTTAGGGTTTTAGGGTTTTAGGGTTTTAGGGTTCTAGGGTTTTAGGGTTTAGGGCTAGGGGCCCGGGGGGGGGGGGGGGGGGGGGGGAGGGGGCAGTTTGTTTAGGATTTCTGTAGAGATTTTTGAAGTAAGGGTGCTTTGAGGGTGTTTAGGGCTTTGGAGCTGGGCGTTTTAGGGGCTTCGAGGGGTTTTCGCTGCAGCTGGGCTCGAGGGTCCGGCTTACCACTGACGGGTTGGGGTGATTATCTACCCCCCCGCCCCAACTGAACCCTGAACCCTCTACCCTAAAAGTTGTTGGCACAGGCTGGCATCGGCAAAAGCCATGTGGGGGGGGGGAGTCCTAAACCCTCAGCCCCTGAAGCCCCAAATCCTAAACCTGGTAAATCCTAAACCCTAAACCTTGTAAATTCCTAAATCCTAAACCGCAAACCCTGTAAACCCCTAAATCCTAAACCCCAAACCTTGCAAACCCCTAAATCCTAAACCCCAAACCTTGCAAACCCCTAAATCCTAAACCCCAAAATCCTAAACCCTAAACCTTGTAAACCCCTAAATCCTCAACCCCAAACCTTGCAAACTCCTACATCCTAAACCCCAAACTTTGCAAACCCCTGAATGCTAAACCCCCAAATCCTAAACCCAAACCTTGTAAACCGCCAAATAGGCTCTGCATCCTAAACCCCAAACCCTTGTAAATCCTAAACCCTAGACCCTAAACCCTAAACCCTTGTAAACCCTACACCTTATGCGCCCCGAGGCTCCCACGGCCGCCAGGTTCAGCGGCACGTTCCGGCTCTGGTCCTGGGAGGGGGGGGGGGGGGGGGGTGGGGGTGTTTTTATTGATAAAAAGTTGAACATGAAAACAAGCTAGCCTAAAAGAAGGAACCTTAAAGTGAAGGGTCCAGGGGTCAAGCTGAAGCAACAAACGCCCTGCCAGGAGTTGAGAAACGCGGCCCTGCGACAACTTTTTTTGGGGACTAAATGAGCCCTAAAAGGGTTTATGGCTCATATACCTGAATAAGAAAGTATAGTAATGTTGCACCCTCTTTAGTGTGGGGGCCCCCCCCCCCCCCCTGAACAGTCGAGGCGTGGGTTGGGTCCTGATTAAAGGGCTCCGGGGGTTTATATGATTTTAATAGGGAGGAGTTTAGATAGATTTAAAAGGGATTAGAGAAGATGTAATCAGTAGTAGTACTTAGTAGTACTAAGTAGTACTAAGTAGTACTAAGTAGTACTAAGTAGTACTTAGTAATTACTTCGTAGTACTTCGTAGTACTTCGTAGTACTTTGTCGTACTTAGTAGTACTAGTTAGTACTAAGAAGGAGTAGGAGCCCTGAGAAGCCTTAATTAAGCTCAGAATCCCCTTCGCCTGCCATCCTCAGAGCCTTTTGCTTTCAGCATTCGCACTTCCGCCTGATCTCCTGCCTGAGTTCGTCTCAGCCATGACCCTTTGGCTGCACTAAGGGGGGGGGGAAGGGGGTCCTTCAGGAGGAGCCTGAGGAAGAGGAAGGGGCCTGAGGAAGATAAGCGAGTGAGGGGGCCACCATTTTTTTAAATTTAAGACTTGGCCTGAGTCCCCACTCAGGCTCAGTCACTCTGCGAAAAGATACTCAGGGGGATGCTGAGGGTCGGGCTGAGGGCTTGGGTTATAGGGTTGAATTATTTGTTTAATTAGGGTTCAATTAGTCAGGGGTGAAGTGGGTTTATTCAGGGCTAATTTAAGGGTTTAGGGTTGAAGCCCAATGACCTAAACCCAAACCCTAAACCCTAAAGAAACCCCTTTGCATCTAAGGAAGACTCAGATGAAGATGGCCGTCTTCCTGAGCTTTGCCCTCCTCAGTGGGCTCAGCTTGGCCAGCTGCTGGGCTGCACTTAGTCTGACTAGCTTCAGTGAGGGCTTGCATTTAGGCACTGAGACAGGAGTGAGTGCTTGCATCTAGGACTGAGACAGAGCTTGAGCATGAGGAACTTGTTTTTTCTTCAGAGCGCTTTTGGTCCTCAGCATCCTCACCAGCAGCTCGCCTAAGTAATCACTTAGCGAGCCATGTCCTTCCCGCCATTGAAGGCTTCTTCTCAGGCTCCTCCTCAGAGCTCTGCTCAGCCGGTGCTTATCCCTCAGAGCCTGGTGCCTCCACCACCACCTGAGCCCCACCAGCTCTTCAGAGTTGGTGTTGAGGGTCCTAAGCAAAGGCTTCAGTACGACCGCACCATCGAGCCTGAGCCCTTCTTCCTTTGTCCTCAGTGTGAGGATCGTAAGGTGCACACTAAGATCTTCCTCAGCCGAATCCTGCATCAGACCAGGTGTGTTGAGTGCCACGGCTCCTGGCCGGCCTCAGTCATCCTCAGGTTCCACACTGAGATCCTTCCCATGATTGAGGACCTGCCCTGGAGCAGACACTTAGCCCTGAGGTACCGAGTCATTCCTCAGAACAAGATGACGCCGAACTCAGGAGTGGACCTGAGCTTTCGTGGTCAGCCTGGGTCTGAGGCTGTGCCTAAGGCAAGCCCTCCCAATCCTCCTGAGGAAGATGAGCCATGGAGTGCAGAGTCGGTTCAGAGGTGGCTGAGGAAGACTGAGGACCGCCTCTCAGCCCTGGCCTTCAAGCTGAGAGGTTCCGGCCACTCAGAGAATGCCCTGAGAGACTGCATCTACGATGTCAGGGCAGCTCAGAAGGATGCCTCAGGCCTGCTTGAGGACCTCCATTCTCAGGTCAAAGACTATGAGGACCTCATTGAGGCTGTGCGAAGCTTTGAGGAAGACTGCCTTCAGGGCCATCTTGAGCTTGCCGACCATGTTGAGGAGAGGCTGGACTCGAGGCGAGCTGAGAGGGAGGCTCAGCAGGCCCAGCGGGCTCAGGCAAGTGCTGAGCCTGTTCCTCAGCCCAATTCTGAGAGCGACCTGAGCGGCCTGAGCCCTGAGGAGCAAGCTCAGCTGAAGAAGCTTCTGGCGAAGATGGGCCAGGGCCAAGCCTCAGCAACATCCTCAGCATCATCGTCAGGCCAGCAAGCTGAGACCGCCGAGAACTGGCTGAGGCACCAGTGATCGCTACCTGAGTCAGCGATCAGATCTGTCTCCTGAGAGAGACTGTTTTTTTGCACTGTCTCCTGAGAGAGACCGATTTTTGAAGAAGGCCTGAGAGCCTGAGAAGACTCCTGCTGAGATGTGTGAAAAGGAGTGCCTCAGTGAAGCCAAGGGTTCCCAAGCGATGAACTAAGTGGGGTTCAGTATTCCTTGAGTTCTGCATGTCCTCGCATCTCAGGTCCAGTCACCTCAGAGCTCTCGGTTCTGGTGACTCAGCTCAAGGACTGGGGTTTGGACGCCTCAGTCTGGGTTCCTCAGCTGCTTTTGGTGTTTCTGAAACTACTTAGGGCTTAATTAGGGCTTAGGGTGGTTTAGGGTTTAGGGTTTAGGGTTTAATTAGGGTTTAGGGTTTAATTAGGGTTTAGGGTGGTTTAGGGTTTAAGGTTTAGGGTTTAATTAGGGTTTAGGGTTTAGGGTTTAATTAGGGTTTAGGGTTAAGGGTTTTCCGCGCTCAGGCTCACATCTTCGTCCTGAGCTTCGTCTTCGGGGTCGCCTTCAAGATGTACAAGTTCCTGAGTGATGTCCTCTGGTACCTGCAAGCTCAGGACACGTGTCTCAGTTCAACCCTGATCCCTAAACCCTTAGACCCTAAACCCTAAACCCGAGACCCTAACCCGAAACCTTAATTAACCCTAAGCCCTAATGAAACCCTACACCCTAAACCTGGAGGAGGGATGGCTCAGTGGTATCTCAGACAGGGTCACCCACATTGAGCGCCGAGACTCAGGCAGCACCTCAGGCAAACCCAGAAACCCAGAAATCCCTAAGCCCTTAAACCCCTACAGCCCCTCAGCCCTGAAACGCCTTAGTTACTACAACTCCTAAACCCATAACCCCTAATTAATTACTGAGTAATTAATGAAGTCCTATTCTTGCCAATCTGAGGCCAAGATTATACCTCAGGAGATTCCTGGGATGCCCTGAGGCACCTCACCCAGGTCTTCTACGAGTTTGACCCTGAGGCTGGGCTTCAGGAAGGGTTTAGGGTTTGGGTTTAGGGTTTAGGGTTTAATTAGGGTTTAGGGTTTAATTAGGGTTTAGGGTTTAATTAGGGTTGAGGGTTTAGGGTTTAGGGTTTAGGGTTTAGGGTTTAGGGTTTTTAATTAGGGTCTAGGGTTTAGGGTTTAGGGTGTAGGGTTTAGGGTTTAGGGTTTAATTAGGGTTTAGGGTTAATTAGGGCACCTCAAGCCATTCTGAGGCAGGTGGTTCTCAGATCCTCTTCGACATGTTCCTGAGGGTTCGCAACTCCTTAGGCAAGCAGACAAGCTGGGAACGTCAGGCAAGCAGACTGCACTAAGTTCTGTTTTGTAATTAGTAATTAGAGGTCCCACTAAACTAACCTTCTGAGGTCTTAATTAGGCCTTGCTGTTCAGCTTAGGCTTTTATGGCTGAGTGGGATGTGCTCCTCAGCACAGCCATCCTCAGTGTGAAGTCTGAGATCTTCTATCAGAGGCTGGTCAGAGTGCCACAACAGCACTGAGGGTAGGGTTTAGGGTCTAGGGTTTAGGGTTGTATATAGGGGGTAATTAAGAAATTTTAATTAATATATTATACTATATCATATTAATTATACTATATTTAGCTGATTAGGATGTCGTCATTTAGTTTTAGTTTCTTGACCTCAGGTCCTCGAAGGAAAGACTCAGCCTTTGCCTGAGCACGAAGCGACCCTCAGCAATCTGCTCAGGCCAGAGGTTGCTAAGCTTTTCTTTGACTCAGCAGCCTGACTGATAATTAGCATCAGTCCGTCATTAATTAGTTACTCAAGTAAGTACAGTTGTTCAGATTAGCCTCACCTAAGGCATCTGTTGAGTCGAGGGCGAGTCGCTTAGCTGACTGGTCCTCAGCCGGTCACCTTTACGACTCAGTAAACAGCCGCCTCAGGGCCCTTCAGCAGAAGGTTGCTCAGGCAAGCACTTTAGGGTTTAGGGTTTAGGGTTTCGGGTTTAGGGGTTTAGGGTTTAGGGTTTAATTAGGGTTTAGGGTTTAGGGACCCTAAACCCTAAACCCTAAACCCTAAACCCTAAACCCTAACCCCTAACCCCTAAACCCTAATTAAACCCTAGTTAAACCCTAAACCCTAAACCCTAAACCCTAAACCCTAAACCCTAAACCCTAAACCCTAAACCCTGAACCTAAGGCTCAAGACCTGGCAGTGAGCTTCCAGTCCATCAGCACGATGCCTCAGGCACCTTCTGCTCTGCCTGAGTGGAACACGGAACTTGAGGCCAGGACAAACCCTAAGCCCTAAGCCCTAAACCCTAAACCCTAAACCCTAAACCCTAAACCCTATTAAACCCTAAACCCTAAACCGAAATCCCTGAGGTGTTGCGATGGAAGACTGAGCTGCATCTCTCAGGAGCAGCTCAGGCCTAAAGGGCCTCAGACAACAGCAGACAACAGCAGACATTTTTGAGTGCAAAAGTGAGCTCTGAGTCTTTCTTGCTTTGTGACTAAGCCCGGAACCCTACTTAACCAACACCCTAGTGGCTCAAGCCAGCAAGAGGCTCAGAACCATCAGGCTAAGGCCCGCCTTTAAGCCCAGACAGCCCGGCATCCGAAATCGGGGCTCCGGGCCGGGGCCCGGTCATTAAAGAGGGTCCCGAATCAGTCCCACTATTGGGGGTCCGAGGGGGCCCCTGGACCACCCCCTTGCCGGATTGAGGGGGACCAATTTTTCAAAAGGTTTCCTTAAAGGAAACCATTGGTTTCGGGCCG